GCAGCTATTCTGCTTTTCCCTGTGGCCAGGATGGATTGAGCATTTTCTCAGTGTGGCTGAAACACAGTCTGATAGTGTCCCTCAATGAACAATTCCAATGCATAGGCAGAAGGGGTTACCCAAGTCATCCAGTGCCCACCATTGGCTAGCATCCATGTTTGCCCTGAAAGGGCTTTCACAGCTCCTAGTGCACATGTTGGCAAAACTTGTCCTCGTCTCTCACCTCCAAATGGATTTCGCTCCTTGTGTAAGAAACCCGAGGTCTGTAATGAAAGACTGACAAAAAGCCACAGCTCTTGTAGCTCAGTAGGAGAAGCTGGAGAGATCATGGATGTTACCAATTTCTATGACAGTAGAAAATGAGAAAAATTCCCAGATGATTCTAGAAAGTGGGATGATAAATGAGTAAGATGTGGCTGCAGTCATACTTGTTTGTGCACAGAGGGGTTAGAGAGGTAATTCCAGCTGCACTATCCCTAGCTGGGGATACCCTTGAGACTAGAGAAGTAACATGTGACTTCCTCGGGCGTCTGTATGCCCACTCACTTGTGGATTGCAGTAGCTTTGCCTTGAAATGCTCCTTCCCCATTCTCCTGAGGGATGCTCTGTCATACCCAATGTGTTCATTAGTTGAAATTGATAAAGACCAGGGAAAAAAACAGATGACTCTTTTGTATTGAGTAAACAGAACCAAGCTTTGTAGCCTTGCAAATGGTACATTCATGTTCTGTTTTTTCTTTGCATTAGGATCATAGAATCATAGAATCATTATGGTTGGAAGAGACCTCAAAGATCATCAAGTCCAACTGTACTACATTTGAATAGCCAGAAAATACTATGTGTTGAATTTTAAAAATGGCTATCATTATTTATTAACTGCTACATGTTTCTCATTTGTTACACTAGGATATTGATGAAGAAATTGAAGCTGAGTACAACATTTTGAAAGCTCTCTCTGATCATCCCAACGTAGTCAAATTCTACGGCATGTACTATAAGAAAGATGTGAAAAATGGAGACCAACTTTGGCTTGTTCTTGAGGTAAATAATTCAGAAAAATAAGATTTTCTTCCAGTTGGCATTCCTATGTTGAGTATAAACTCAATGAATGAGATGCAAGTCATTTGTTTGATATTTTTCTTTAGAGTGGTTGCATGTGAAATAATAAATGCTGTTGTTTAGTCTTTACAGTGTTCTGAATTAATGATCTTCTCTGAGTTCTGCATTCTTATTTTGATATTATACTGATAGTGCTGTGCCTTCAGAATTAGGATATAAATTCTAGTAGGACTTCATAGGGTTTGCTAACTAAAATCTTTCTTTGGTGAAAGGCTTGTCATGGGAATCTTCCTCTGGTAGCATTTCTTTAAATATGACTAAGATATGACATAACAGTTAAAGAAACCACTATGATGATTTTTTTTTCCTAAATGAAATTATAGAAATTAATTAATTGTATTGCTTTTTTTATGCAAGTAAATGCACAAATAGATAAACAAGCCAATAAAACAGGCTACTGCCCAAATACTGTTGAAAGCAGCAGGATTTCCTCAAATGGAGTCAGAGCAAGATAGGGCCTGTAATTTGTGTGTTTCAGTCTTTAGTTTTCACTAATCTGGGAGCAAAGAGCTTGTTCATTACTGTTTTCAGAGATTCACTGCAACGTATTCTGCAAAAATTTCCTCCTCTTCCCAGAGGACCATGACAAAGAATGTCTCTGACGGGAATAGTGTGCCTTTCATAACAATCAATGCTCTTGCTGATGTTTGATCAGTGTTTGATAAGGTTGAGACTGAAGAATTGGTTGTATTTTATGATTTGTCAGCTAGGTGAATACAAATCGCCTGCCAAATATCTCAATGATACAATGATATCTAATGATGGAAACAAGCTCTAAAAAATGCTTAGGTTCTAAAAGCTTTTCCAAATTCTTCTGACTCGCATTGGGAAGATATTTTTAAGAATAGTTTGCATTGGAAATAATAATAAATTCTTAGGTTAGACTGACATCAAAAGATGTCAGCTCTTTGTGCCGTGAGCATCTTTAAAATGTAGCTTCTGTTGCATCTGCTGGGTGTTTGAAACTGCATCTGTGAAACTTCTGGCCTGTAAAGGATGGATGCCTAACATTCAGAATGGGACAGACTGTGAGGAAACAGTCAAGTGTTTATATTTTAACTTCTATATTTCACATTGATTTATTTTCTTAGTGTGAAAAACAGAAGCCTACATCTGGAATATAAGTTTTATATTCACTCTTTGCACGCCAAGCTGTACATGTGCAAGTGCTAGTATGGAGTGTGTGGAATAGTCTTGGATGCTTTCTGTCACTGCATGTGTAGATCCATGAATGCAATGGATTTCAGTTGGGGTGTGTGTACGCATAGATACGCATAAGTAGAAAAATAAATTCTAATGGTGACTTGAAGCTCTCCTTTTAATAAAAGTATCTGTGAAAGAAAACTGTTGTGGAACAGAATCCTCTGTTGAAGTGTCACCTTCCATTCAGCTTGTATGCAGCTTTACAGGGCCATTGCAGTTTGTTTTTCACAGTAGCTATTTATATGTCCACAGTTTATAAGAACGAAGGTATCTTCATCATCTCCATTCTGTGTTGTTGTTTTTTTAACAATATATTTGTCTAAAGTCATAAAGGTGGTAATTAGTCTTTAGCTTACAGAGACCTCCGTTTCCATTCCTTTGGTTTTGGTTGTGGTTTTTTTTTAATTTATTTTATCACAAAAAAGCATTTTCACTTCAGAACTGTTGCTTCCCCTGAAGAGGGGAATCCAGTCTTGAAATTTAGGTTTGCAGAGTTTGATACCAAGGAGGAGATCTGTCTTATCTTCTTCTCAAAAAAGTTACCAGCTAATCCCTGCAAATTCTATGTGATCCTCTGAAATGAAGATGCACCTTTTGCAGTCAGCACCTAGCCTGTAGATACGTTCCCAAAGACTGGAAGGACAGTGTAGACTACTGCAGTTTGCATAATCTGAAGCAGCTTCCATAGTTTCTGAATGCAAAATGATGTCAAGGAGGAAAAGTAGAGAATCAAATGCAGGCTACTGTGCATTGAATATAGAAGCCAAGACCAGTTGCTTCAGAATGATGGAAATGATCCGTTACTGAATAATCCTGGGTAAACATGACATTTCTTCTGAATCTCCTCACTTAATAATAGCCTAATAGCACATGCCTTCATAGAAAATCTTTTTTCCAATTTGAAGTGAGATTCCTCATTTTCTTGGATTTCATTTGGATTTCATCTGCTTTGTTGTATTTCTCTGTCTCTGTGCTAATGTGCAGATTACCTAACTGATCTTGTAAAGCATTTTGAAGTTGCAGTGCTGTCAGCTGGAAATATGCTTCTGAGAGAGTAGGAGCTATTTTTCATTATTTTTTTTCTGTTAAAAGAAACAAATACTTTTTTGATATAATAAACTATCAAGAAATATGTAGTCAGTCTCATACTTTGATTTAACCTTTCAGTGTAGATCTAAACAGTTAAAAAGTATGCATAATGATTACTTGGAAAAATAAACAACATTTTTGCATAACTCACTTCTACATGTGCTACTCTAGTACAGTATTTGTAGAACTGTAAAGTTACTGTGTTGTGTTCATCTTAACACAAGGACCTAAATCTGAAACTAGTATGGAGTATGCATTTTAACAAATAATTGAAAACTAGAGGAAAACTAATAGTATGAGAGCTTTTAGCATCACTAGCAATTTTTGGTAATAAAGCAACCTAACTTCCTTAGTTCAGCATTTTTAAGGAAACCACCTATGGCAATGAAAGTAAAACAGGAATACATCTGTATGGAATAATGGTACTCTTGACTCTCAGTTCAGAAATGCCTTTCTCTCTGTAGGCTGCACTCAGATATGCTGAACATCTGCTCCTGTGTGGATGCTGTTCTGATCACGTTTATAATGAAGAATACTGCTGGAGGGAGGATTCTTGCCAGGTGTATTAAGCTTTGTCACATGTATCCAGAGATGCGGGCAGAAGAACTGACCTATTGAGTCTGTGTTGAAAAGAAATCACTTGAGTATTATGCTTGGGATGAATCAGCTTAGCAGTTTCATGTTAGCAGACATCAGCATGATGACACAACTAAGACAGAGTGTGCTGTAGCCCGTTTCTTTCTGCTCTGGATGTTGGTTCAGAAGGGAATAGATCCGAGATAGTTGGAAGTCAGCTGATGGAAGATGGAGCAGAGAGGTAAATCATATCAGACCCTGCAGGTGAGCTTGCAGATCAAGGGCAGCTGGGGACAACAAGTGGCACAGCCCTTGCCTGAGATCTGGTGCAAAGAACAACCTAGTCAAGACTGAGTGAAGGCTGAAAGTGCCACAGCAAGCTAAATGGTAGGTGTTACACAGCTTTTACTTGCTACTGTAAGCCAGAGGCCGAGAATCACAATGCATCATATTTCTGTAGTTCATTTCCTACACAGATGAGGTAGAACTTTAAGAAGTATCTCAGTCAATTTTCAAAAGACACATAGTTATGCATGCTGTGTTTGAGATGGATTTAGGTTTGTGAATCACACAAGTAAGCTAGTATATTTTATCCTTATGAATATATTTTTATAGGAAATAAAGGGAACATGCATTATTTTTATAGTAAAAAAAAATATTTTGCTTTAATGAGTTAAAACTTAGCTTGGTAGGGGAAAAAGTTTGGGTGGAGTGACTTCCCACCCAAATTACAGTTTTGTAGCATCAAAGCATTTTGTAGAAACCTCTCATTTCTGGGAAGGTGGAGAGAATTGCGAAGACGTTATAGAAATACATCCCTTTGACTGTGCTGAATGTCAAGAAGACTGACAAAGCATTCTTTTTAGGTTTTTTTGTTCTTTAGTGTGTACATGAACTTTTCAAGAACATTTGCAATGACCTGCTGAGTTAGACCAATGGTCCATGTAGCACAGCATTCTGTCTCCTGTGGTGGCACTAGAAGATGCTATTTAGGAAGAGTCTGTCCAATTTTTGCAGTCCATTTCCCTCATGCTCTCCAGCAACCATGATTGTTGTATTAAGGATGTCCCAGACTATTCTGTTTAGTATCAATTATGGACACACTAAACCCAATGATGATACTGCCATGCCATACTGCTCCTCTTAGAGCATGCAAGTTTAATTTTTGTGTCATTATTATATACTTATTTCTGCATATAATATTTCACATAGTAGACTATAATGTTTTCAACATTATGAAAACATTTCCAAATCTAAATATTTTTCAATGTGTGATAAGAAATTTAGAATCCTCTTCATTTGAGGAGGAGGAATGTGTTACAATTTACAGTGGACTGCAGGCTGTTTTCTGTTAAACTGTTTAACTAATGTTAAAACGTACCTTCACAAACAATATTTCAGTAGGTAGTTCAGTCTGTACAGGTGTTGGTTATGCACAGTCCAGACTGAAACGAATGCAATTCATCTTCATTCTCATGTAAAATCTTTTCTTGTTCTAGTGTAATCTTAATCAGAGAAATCATGTGAAAGTGTAGAATAGCTTGTGCTCAGAACTTGCTTCTCTGAAGAAGTGGCATGTTAGCCACTTCCATTTGCTCAACCATTTAACATGGGAGAATATTTATTAATACATTAAATAATGTATACAAGAAATACATTAAATAAATCAGTAACTTGTATCATTCTGCATTGTTGCAGGCAAAGTGATATATTTTGCGTTTGATCTTCTAGATGTTTCTTGATGTTAGTTGAACTGCTAACCAGACACTGATAACTCAGGAGTTACAGAAAGATTATCATGAAGGATTATTGTGATCCTGTTGGCAGCTATGTTTGCTAAATTAAAATTTGCCTGAAGTGATTCAAATTTGTTACTGACCTTTGATCTTGTAAAGTTAACAAGAGGAAAAATTTTAAACATACAAATATCTAAATTCTCTTTTTAAATCCTTGGGAGGCTTCTATTTGTGTTGCTTTTTTCAAAAAATACAAAATCATTAAACTCAGTAAATAAAAGCTCTCAGGAGTTTGAATTAAACTAGAACACAGAAAAT